CGGAATTCGTTTCTCTAGATCAAACGGATCATCAAAATTTTTATCTGGAAGTTTTGAGAAGGTTGTGTCACGATTTGTGGAAGAAATGTCTTGTGTTATGGCAAACAAGTGGCAGCTTCTTCCACCATGATAAAGCACCTGTCCACACCATACTGAGTATTCAGCAATTTTTATCAAAAAAAGGCGTGACCCCCATGCTCCATTCTTCTGATCTTGCCCCGGTGACTTTTTGTCTTTCCCTGCATGAAAAAAGTTCTCAAAGGAAACATTTTGCCTAAGTGGAAGAGTTGAAACAAAAAATGACAGAAGACCTAAAAGGCATTAAAAACTATTTTGAGCAGTGGAAAAAGCATCTCAATAGTGTATTGCATCAAATGGAAGGTACTTTGAAGGTGACTTAAGTTTAAACATGTAAGAATAAATACACAATTTTTTTTTGAGTCAGAGTCTCACTCTGTCACCCAGGTTGGAGTACAGTGGCATGTGCATGGCCACCAGAACCTCGACCTGCTGGGCTCAGGCGATCCTTCCACCTCAGCCTTCCAAGTAGCTGGAACTACAGGCATGTGTCACTATGCCCGGCTAATTTTTTGATTTATTGTAGAGATGAGGTCTCGTCAAGTTGTCCAGGCTGTTCTCAAACCCGTGGGTTCAGGCAATACCCTAACCTCGGCCTCCCAAAGTGCTAGGATTTCAGGCTTAAGCCATCGCACCCGGCTAGTATATAATTTTTCATAAATAAATTTCGGGGTTTTTTTGGGTCTCTCTTGTAATGAGGAAAAACTACAGCAGTAAGAAATGCCATCATGTGTACTGAAGAACTCACTTCCTGTCCTGTCTCTCCCAAGGTTCCCAGCAGAGCTCTTCTTAGTGCCCAGGAAGGAGACATGGGGCACTGCAGACAGCTGGTGGGGACCAGCCCAAGAGCCAGTTCTTCGGGCTCTGAAACTCTACTCTTTGTGTGTCCCCAGGCAAGGTGGCAGGAGTCTTAGAGACATGTGGATATGATGGTGAAAGTAGGCAGGATACAGGGCTGGGAGGCTGAGTGCTGAGGGAAACTGCCGTCCCTATTGTATGGAGCAGAAAAGAAGAAAACAAAATCTCATGCACACAAAAAAGCTTAAGAGAAGTATGAACAAGTCAAATCCAGAACTATATGGAGAAGGAAAAAAATCATAGCTAAGTTAACTTTATCACAAGAAGCTAACAACATCAACAAAATTTCAAGAAGAGATTAAATGGAGGAACAAAAAGATATTATTATCCCACTGAATGCATTAAAAAGCATTCAATGAAACTAAACTCATTCATGTTTAATAAAATAAGAATAGAAAGGAACTCCCATAAATGATAAAAGTAGAAGGAAAGGAAGGACAAAAAGAATGGGAGGAGGCAACAGCAGATGAGAAAAGTCAACAACATTTTGGAAATTGAACAGATGCAAGAAAGCTGAGCAGTTTGCAAGGAAAGGGAAGAGTGAGAGACAGCCAAGAAACATGACAGTTTGTACTGAGAAGCCCCAAAAGACTGAAGTATTAGGGGCAACAGGTCCCTCTGAAGGCCAAGGTACAGGAAAAAGGGCCTGGAAAAAGGACTGGTTAAAAGTCTATAAAAGAGGCAGTTAAGACCCTTGTCCCAGGCCCCACCTCCACTCCAAAGGTCCATTTGTTCCTCGGTACAGCCAGGAAGCTAGCAGAACTCTTTGGAGAAATGAATCACATGGGCTTTTAGGATGCAGGACACCAGGTTCAGCTAAGGTGCTTATACTAAAAAGAGAAGGAGATTAAATGCTAACACATCTAGAGGTGAAACCCCTTCCTCCACTCCTCCTGGAATGCTGATGGTTCAGCATTCACTAAGAACAGGACTGAGTCCCTGCCTGATTCCCATATTGCAAAGCTTACCTCTCAAAAAAGCTAAACCACCTAGTCACCCTCACCCTACCACTCCTTACATAGAGCACGTAATCTGTGGTTTAGTGCCTTATTCTCTATTACACCTGAGGATCATTTAAGGAAATTTATCATATGAAAAAGGCAAACAATAAACAAAATCCAAGGTAAGCACTTAAAAACAGAGATAATGCAGGGAGCAGAAGAAAATTTTTAAAACCCTAACAACCACAATGAGATAAGACATTGCAGCTATGAAACAGGAACAGAACACCATAAAAAAGGAACATCTGAAGGATCAAAAAATTATTAAAACTAGAAATAAAACAGTAAAATAAAAATGAAGAAAAAGACCCACAGAAACATATTATTGTTAAATTTCAGATAACTAACAAAGAAGGTCCTAAAATTTTCCAGAGAAGAAAAAAATGAGTCACATAAAAGAATTGGGAATCAGAGTGGCTCAGACTTCTTAATGACAAAACTGAGAGCTGATGATAATGGAGCAAAGCCAGCATAATTCTGGGAGAAAACAATTTTCAACCAAGAATTCTATGCCCAGCTGTGTTATCTACATCGATATCTAAAATCATGTTTTTGGCCACAGTTCCTGGCTCATAAATCCCATGTCCCTAGTTATAATGTTAAGACACTTTAGTAACAGGCCCAGAAAATAGAATCTCTCTCTCTCACTGACCTTCTCCTGCCCTACTTTTATCTGTGGACGCAGGCGAACAGAAATTCCAGGACAACATCTGTGCAGCAGGCCCAGGTAGCAACCAGTCTGGATTGGAGCAAAGAGAACAGAAGATTCCAAGAGGCTGCTTGGCCCAGCCTCACAATCTTTTTTTGGTTTCATTTGAAAGGCCCATGCTACCTCACCCACCTTGACCTTCAGGTCATAGCTTCCTGTCATATACTCTCATAGTGCTGTGCACCTTCCCTTCATAGCACAGATAAAGGTGGTAATTCCACATCTGTCCCTTTGTCTTCTTGGTGGACATCTGCCTCACTCACTGCTTTTAGCCTTGTGAAGGCAGAGGCCATGTCATCTGGCTCTCCATTTAAATCACCCATGCTAAACACAAAGTAGTCACTCCATACATGTGGATGAAACACTGACTGAAGGAATGCTACATTTTCAGACATATCGGAACAGCTCACTCTTGGCACCTGACCTAAATTGGGTAAAATGACTCCAAGGATTGGTGGAAATGCAAAATTGTACAGATGCTGTAGAAAACAGGAATGGTAGTTCCTCAGAAAATTAAAAATCAATCCACCATGTGATCCAGCAATCCCACTTCTGGGTATATACCAAACATAATTGAAATCAGAGCCCCTTGAAGAGATGTTTGTCCACCAAGTTCATAGCTGTATGATTCACAATAGTCAAAATGCAGAAGTAACCCAAGTGTCCATTAAGAAACAAGCATATAAGCAAGATATGGTCTATCCATACTGTGGAATATCATCCAGACTTAAAAAAGGAAGAAAATCCTGACATGCACTACAAAATGGGTGAGCTTTAAGGACAACATGCTGAGTGAAATAAGCAACTCACAGAAGGACAGATGCTGTAAGAGTCCACTTAAATGAGGTACTTAGAGCAGTCCAAATCAGAGAGACAGAAGTAGAATAGGGGTCGCCAGGGCTGGAGACACAGAGAGAAAGGAGGAGCTAGAATTGAAAGGATATAGACTTTCAGTGGTATGAGATGAAAGAGTCCTGGAGATGGATGGCGGTGACAGTTGCACATTATGAATGTGCTTAATACCACTGTACTGTACATTTAAAGTGTCTAAGATGGAAAATTTTATGTTATGTGTACTTTTTAAAAAAATTAATTATTTATTTTTTATTATGAAGTTGTGGGGTACAGTTAAGGGTTAGGTATACAATTGCATTTCATTCAGGCACCCTGTTGATATGGGGTGTTTCCCCGTTCCCAGACAGATATTTGCTACTGTTAATCCCATCTCCCTCCCCCCCCCCATAGTTTCCCAGTACTGTCAGTCATATTCTTATAGTATTGCATTGGATGTTTAAGGTCCATTATATGAGTGAGAACATGTGATACTCGGATCTTTGTGTTATGTGTACTTTTAAATTAATTAATTAATTTTAAAAGAGAGAGAGAGAGATGGGGTTTTGCTTTGTTTTCCAAGCTGGAATACAGTATAGCTCACTGCAGCCTCAAACTCCTGGACTCAAGTGATCCTCCTGCCCAGCCTCATAAGGAGCTAGGATTAATGGTCTGTGTGACTGCATGTGGCAATGTGCACTTTAACACTATTTTTAAAGTGGAAAAAACAATTAAGCCACAGGTGAGATCCAGTTTATCCATCTTTTTTATAGCTACTCTTAAACCCACTGCCTGGTTTACTATTCAACAAACATGCATCCCAGGGATGGAATATATGAGACTGGCCCTCTGAGGTGGGGCTTGGCCATGTTATTACTTTGGCTACTAGCATGTTAGCAGATGTGACATGAGCCTTAACTGAGGCTTGCAAAGTTTGGCTTGCTTTTCGCACTCCTGCCATGTTCCTTATGAAGAGTTTCTCTCAGGTGTAAGGATGAGAGGCTTGTGGAACAAATACAAACTCAACATGCAGCCTCACCCAAGCCCTGCCAATGTGCATCCTGAAGCTGACCGTCTAGCCAAACCCAGCCCTGATCAGCTTATCAACATTCAACTCACAGGCCAACCATCAAGAAATAAATGCTACCGTCTTAAATCACTGAGGAGTCTGGGGATGATTTGTTACCCAACAGTATCACAGCATACTTGACAGTACACCCACTAACTGGAATTTATTGTCCACATGTTTTCCCAGAGAAGGAGGTAGGTCTCTTCCATCAGACCTGGGCCAGCACGCTGGCCACCCAAGCTCACTGCTAACTTCATGACCACCATGCTAAATGGGGGTGTTCCAGCTCTGCCTCCACTTCTTAGACCTAATGTCTGGTCCTCCTGCATGTCACATTACTCCTCTGGGCCTTGATGATGCCTATGATGGAGAGTTGGACTAGATCTCTGAGCTTCCTTCCAGTGCTGGGGTGCTGTGACCTGGATAGTGCATACTCCTCAACTGGCCTTCTCACCTGGGTGTGGCTCAGCAGGGGAAGGGTAGCACGGTTGGCTGAGCAGAAAGCTTGGCTGTCCTCCCAGGGCTGTGCCTCTGCAGAGAGGTAGTAGCAGTGCTCCTTGAACCATATCCAGCCCTCAGGGCACGGCTGGCACCTGGTCCCTGCAAGCACAGAGACCGCTGGTGAGCTGCAGGGCGAACTGTCTGTGCATTAAATAAACAAACAAAACCTGCCGCTGCCTTGACAGAGAGGGCAAATCTGAAGGCATAGAGCTGGCAAGCCCTCGGTGGGAAAGACGGTGGGCAGGGATGCTTCATGCGGTGGGAGGCTGTACAGTCTGTGTAGTGCACAAAGTCTCCCCAGCGGCAGTTGGCATCTGATTGCTTGTCAAGGCGCAAACTGTGTCTGGTGCGAGGAAGAAGCACATTTTTCTGAACTTTGCTCACAAGCCCCATGTCCTCATGGTGTGTCTCCCCAGGGGCATGTCGCTTTCCAGTACTCAAGGAGCTAGAAGGTTGGACACAGTCATGGTGGAGCAGCAGGGAGAGGGGCTAGGGGTGGGGGCACACCATACCTGCTCTAGAGGCCAGGGCCACAATAGCAACTGCAGAGACTGCCAGGAGCACAGCCATGACTGCCAGGGACCAGTGCAGGGACTTCATGTACATGAAAAGCCCTGGGAAGGGGGCAAACAAGGAGAGACAGGTTAGAAGACAGCCCCCCAACTGACCCAACTCGGAGCACAGATGCATGATACCAGCACTGCATCCACGTCACCCTAGTACCCAGCCCTGCAGACCGGGCACCAGCATAATCCACTCCATTTACTTTCCAGTTTCATATTTGGGAGAAAGAGGCTAGAAGATGTTCTTCTTCTTAAATAATTAGAAGATGTGAGAGTCTACTGAAGAAAAAAAAACAAATAACTGGTCAACAACCATTTATTGAACACACTTAATAGACACGAGACACAAGATACAAATACCCACAGAGAATAGGGTAAGACCCCCACATTCAAGAAACTAAGAGAGAGGCAAAGGCACCAGGGAACAAAACTTCCAAACCAGGGAGGAGCAAGGTTACAGTGGAACTCGACAGGCCTGGGTTCAAGTCTTCACTCCATGGGCCACCCCAGTGCTTTGTTTTTGTAAGTAAGCAGGAATTTATTTAGAAGACAGGAAAGTTCCCAGCAGTGGGAGGGGGCCCAAAGGGCCATCCCTGTGTTCTTGATGTTTTTTCATTTTAGCATCAAAGCTATTCCTGCGTCTTCAGACTCTCCAGGTCTTGCACACCGCATGAAGCATCAAGAAAGAACACTATGCAGGCCTGGTGTACCACGCTGCTGTAAGCTGTCAGTACAAGCCCCTGACCACATGGATCAGATCACTGGAGGGGAAATATGGACGGAAAGTGAGCAGTGGAGACAGAAGGGGTTCCTGGTGGCAGAAGTGATACAGTTAGGGACTCAGAGGTGTGGCATATTTAAACGCCATGGAGTCACCAGGGAAGGCAGAAGGGGAGACTTGGAGAATAAAAGGTAGGAGAAACTATTTCTTTTTTGTTTTGTTTTGTTTTTTTGTTTTTTGAGTTGGAGTCTCACTCTGTCACCCAGACTGGAGTGCAGTGGCCGCTCCCGGCCACCACAGCCTCGACCTCCTGGGCTCTGGCGTTCCTTCCGCCTCAGTCTTCCAAGTAGTTTTAACTACAGGTGTGCGCTACCATGCCCGGCTAATTTTTTTGATTTATTGTAGAGATGAGGTCTCGCCAAGTTGCCCAGGTGGGTCTCAAACCCACGGGCTCAGGCAATCCACTCACCTCAGTCTCCCAAAGCTCAGGATTACAGGCTGAGCCACTGAGTCCGGCTAGGAGAAACTATTTCAAATGTTTAATCACAGTCATGGACAGGTATGATCAGTGTTTGGCCTGGAAATTCACACCTGATGGAGCATTCCTGAAGTTAAGCTCTGTCATGACACAGAAGCATAAAATCAACTATAGCCAGAGCCCAGCAGGTCGACGCTGGGGTAGCTGTGAGTGTGCCACTGCACTCCTGGGCATAGTGAGACTCCAACTCAAAAAAAAAAGAAAATGCTTAGAATACATATAAATTGTGAGTCTTAAAATAATAAGAAGCAGAACCAAAAAGCCTGGAGAAGAAAGAGAAAATAAATCTACTAGTCACCTAGATAAATATAATTATGGTGGTTGAACACTAAATTTAGCTCTGACCTTTTAGAAAACAAAACAGTAAAGAAATATAGTCAGTAGGGCAATCCCCTTGGGCTCCCTCCCACTGGGAGCGTTTCTGTCCTCTCAATAAATTCTGCTTTGTTAAAAAAAAAAATATATATATATATAAGGAAAAAGAGAAAGAAATATAGTCAGTTACAAACTTCTCACATACAAATTAGGAGGACCCACCTAATTCCAAACAGTTAAATTTGGAAATGGCCCCTGGCAGACCTATCTATTTTCCCAAACAACCAGCTAAAGGGAAGTCCCCACCCCAATCCCCTTTAAAAAGCAGTTCTTAAGTACCTGAGTAACACAAACACATGCTCCTTGTAAATGGCCGAAAGTCCAGGTGAAGCTGGAGTCTCCTAGAATCCATTTTTCCTCTTACCCCAATCCTGGACTTCTTTTAGTGCCTTTCAACATCACCTTCCCAATTCCCAAGCGATGTCATCTCCTGCCCCATGAGAGGACAGTGACACGTATATCCCTTCCTGCCTCAGCAACTTTCTCATGCCCTATTGTCTGCTTTCCACCTAACTTCATTTTCCATTCACAAGAATCATCTCTGAGGTCATACTCTCCATTGACCTTCTCACTGTTTATCTCACTTTAATTTTCTACCTTTTGACTACTTTTCTTATCTCACTCTGGAAGCACCATCTTCTTGCCCCTAGTCAAACCCCAGGGCCAGGGGTAGATCCAGGTTTAAAGTTTGTTCAACTGGGTGGCCATCTTTGAAAAATTATACAAACTTCCAAATATAAAGGGGCTCAAAGTATAACACAGTATGTCAGCTTTGGAATGCATTTTACATTTTATTTTCCTTTTCTCTCTTACTCCTCAAATTTAGCCTTGAAGTATTAAAGTTTTTTTCTCCCTTTTCCCCACCAGACACTCCTCTGCACCATGCACACTTATCTATTCAATATTTGTCGATAGATTTCAGGGGCTATCCTTGAAACAAACCAGACATGAAGACCCGGCGGTGAAACTCTCTCCCATCTAGAGATGACTTCAAGGTGTTAACCTATCACCTAGCTGTGGCTGAGATGGTGCCAGCCAGCACCCCTGATGGACAATAACTCAAGACAGTTACCGGAATGAGGTATGCAGACCTGCACCCTGTACCCTTCTGCATGCTCCCTATACCCACTTT